TTTGGAGTGGGGGTTTAGTTGCAATGAAATTCCGGAGTTTCTGTTTGTCTGGGAAGGTCCATATTCTTTCTTCAAAGAGGAAGGAGAGCTTTGCGGGATAGAGTATTCTTGGTTGGCATCTGTTTTCTTGGAGTCTGTTGACTATGTCCCTCCACTCTCTCCTTGCCCGTAGTGTTTCTTCGGAGAAGTCTGATGTCAGCCTGATTGGTTTTCCTTTGAATGTTATCTGTTTCTTCCCTCTTGCCAGCTTCATTATTTTTTCCTTGTCCTGGATTCTTGGGAGCTTTACTATTATGTGTCTTGCTGTATTTTTCCTTTCGTCGTGGAAGTTTGGTGTTCTTCTTGCTTCTTGTATATCAATTTTCAGCTCCTTCTTCACATTTGGGAAGTTCTCTTCAATTATCTCTTTGAATATTTTCTCTGTTCCTACATCTCTCTCCTCTCCTTCTGGTATTCCTATAACTCTTATATTTCCTTTCCTCATGGAGTCAGATAGTTCCCGAAGTCTTTCTTCGTTCTTTTTCCTTCGTACTTCTCTTTCCTTCTCTGTTTTGGTTCTTTTTATTTCTGTGTCTTCAAGATTACTTATTCGTTCTTCCATTTCATCTATTCTGCTTTCATTGCTTTTCCCAGAATTCTTTAGTTCTTCCATTAATTCTTTGATCTACTGCATTTCTTTTACTTCCCTCTTTAGGGACTCAATTTCTTTCTTCTGACCATTGTTTTCCCTCTCTAGGGACTCAATTGCATTCTTCTGATCGTTGATTATTTTTCCCTTATCTTTGTTTTCCTTTATGACTTCTGTCAGTTTTTTAATCACGGCAATTTTAAATTCTCTTTCTGGAAGGCTCAGAAATTCTTCCAAGTTATTGTCGTTGCAATCTGGGGGCTGGCTTTCTTTTTGTGGTGTGCTTTTTCTCTGGAGAGTTGCTAGGTTGCGTGTGGTTCTTCTCCTCCCTACTGTCTGTTTTCTAATTTGCCGTATGTGTTGGGACACTGTGTTGTTGGGACTGGCCGGCATCTTGGGTGGGCTTCTCTGTTCCCCTCTGGTTCTTCCAGGAGTCATCTGTCAGTTTCAAGCAGCCTTTACTGGAGAAAGGTCCCTGTTCTAAAATGCCGATGTGGGGACACACTCCCCTGTGCACCTGGTCTGCCCTGGCGGTGGGTTCCTGCTCCCCTCTGGGCCTGGACTGCAGGCCAGAGGGGGTCTGGCGTGGGCGAACTTCCCCCGCTCACCTCTGGCTCCTGAGGAAGCCTTCTGCAGGTAGTCTTTACTGAAGAAATGTCCCTGTTCTAAAATGGTGATGTGGGACACACTCCCTGCGCTTCTGGTCTCAGGCACACTATTCTGCGCGCCTGGTCTGCCCCGGCTGTGGGTGCTCGCTCTCCCTGTGGGCTCAGACTACTTGTTCAGAAGGGGCCCGGTGTGGGCTAACTCCCCAGCTGGCCACTAGCTCCTTCAGTAGCCTGTGCTGGGGTCAAGTCGCTAGGTGGCACCAGAGATCTCTCCTAGAGCCCTTGGGGAGCTGATTTTCCACCCCGTGGGACAGGGAGCAGAGCGGGGATGGTAGGGTACACCTCAACGGCTTTGGGGTGCTGTGTCTGCCTTGTGCCCCACCGTCGTGGGGAACCCACGCCCCTAATTTCGTGCCCCGGGTCTCAGTTCCAAAGCCCTCAGTTCCAGGACGCGGGCTGTAGCCCAGATCAGTGGCGCGGGAATGGCGCCTTTTGAATCCCGCTCCCCTGCCTGGGCGCCTGGTTCCTGCTCACTCCGGGAGGGCCTCCGCCTGGGTCTCAGTTCCAAAGCCCTCAGTTCCAGGACGCGGGCTGTAGCCCATATCAGTGGCGCGGGAATGGCGCCTTTTGAATCCCGCTCCCCTGCCTGGGCACCTTGTTCCTGCTCACTCAGGGAGGGCCTCCGCCGTCTCCCCGCAAGCCTAGGTCGCAGGCGCAGGGCCCTGGGCAGCTGCAATCCGAGCGCCGCTTTCGCGCAAGCTTACCGGGCGGCCGGGGCTGTGTGCTGGTGCTGGTCTCCTCCTGGTGGGCGGGGCTCTCTTTAATGGCGCCTGGAGCTCACCTCCGCGGCGGATCCTGCAGGGTTCGCCTCAGCTCCCGTTCACGGGGTGTGGTGGCTGAAATAGTTCCTTTCCACTCACAGTCCCGCTTGCTGCATCCGTTTTTCTTGTTGGGCGTTTTTGTTTGTTTTCCCTTGTCTCTGCCGGTCGGAGAGTGCCGCCTCTGTGGGCGGGGGAGGGGAGCAGGGTTCTGCGCTTCCCTCCCTTCTCGTCCTCTTTTATGGCAACTTTCTTCTTCGGGCAGTTTGCTGGAGTCGTCCGTTTATCTTCCGTGTCCCAGTTCTCACTGGGACCTGCCGCTTTTCCTCCCTATTAACTTTTTTTAATGGGAGATCTTACTCACAGCGTCTCCTCGCCGCCATGTTGCTCCGCCCCCTCTCCAACTCAGTTCTTGATCACATTTACCCTCTATTCCATGACTTTTGTCTTTGAGTATTCTTACTTCTAGATCTTTCTCTCAAGCCTCTCCTATATTAGAAAATTCTTCTTTATTATTGTGTTTCTCTTTTATTTATTTATTTTTAAAGATTTATTTATTTATACAAGCACTGGGTACAGTCAGAAGCGTGGGAGGGTGAGAGAATTCACCAGAGCCAGAGCAGGGAACAGAACAGGCAGACCAACGAAATACACTGCTGAGGGGAGCAGTGGGTGGCAGGAGAGGTCTGCGCGCCATGTGGGACCCTCGCCTGGCGGCCGGGGATTGAACCAGCACTGCAGAGGCTGTGGGCAGCTTCGCAACCCAGCGCTCAACCGCTGCACCACCGGGGAGGCCCGTGTTTCTCTTATAAGGCATAGTTTGTGCTCGTGGCCTCCATTGATACCTACAATTCACTCATTGCACTGCAGCTGCCCTTGTCATGCTAACCAAACAATGTGGACCAGGTCAGATATGGAAACCCAAATGCTGACACCAATGTTTGTCCCTCCAGTCATTTACCCTCTCTGAAGCTTTCACACTACTGGCCATTTCTTTTTCTAGGGTTTCTCTAACATTATTTTCACCTGGTTCATAACCTGCTAATTTTTTGTTGGTTTTATGTGTTTCTTTTTTCTCATCTCACCCTATAATATTGATGTACTCTAAAGTTCTGTCCTTGACCAACTTTTTATCTTATCTTCTTTCCTGGGTAGATTTACCCATTCTCTTGGCTTCACCACTATGCTAATGTAATTCACATCAATATCTTTAACCTAGATGTTTTTTGTAAAGGCCAAATTTCTGTTGGACGTCTCTTTAGATGTACTTCAAATGTCTGTAGCTCCATCAACATATCTAAAACTAAGTAAAATACCTGAGTCATCTCAGCTTCTCCTTTTTCTTTAGCCTTTCTTCCTTCTACTTTTCTCCTCATGCCATTTCCAACCTCATGCTATTAGAGGATGAGTATTATTAGTTTTTTTTTTTCATTACTCTTTAAATATTTGTCTCTTACCTTTATATTTGTCTTTTTGCTCCTTTCCTTAGGACCTTCTCCTCTCTGCCTAGTCTACTACAGTATCATCTTGATTATCTTCCTTCCTCCAATGGAGCCTTTCCAAGCTACTCTTGTCATGCCTCACATTTTTCTAAAATGTGAAAGGCTGATATAATTCCCAGTGCATCTTCTGTGATTCCTCGATGCTGGTATCAAGTCCAGATTTCCTAGAAAAGAATATCCTGTTATCCTGACCTAGGTTCTGTCTCACTTTCTTGTTTATACAGAGGTATGCAAGGAGTGAAAACATGATAACATGATTTTGAAGTATATTTAAGGAATTTTGCTCTACTCTGAAATTTAGTGAGAAAAATGACTTTCAAAGAGGAGCTAATATATTAAAAGTCTAACAATTATCAAAGTATGTTTATTGAGAAGATGTTCTATTTAGCAAGACAAATGGAGAGAAAGGTCAAATTTGGAAAATGTGAGGATACAAGAAGCAGAATGTGAAACGAAAAGATAGGGGTGGGTTTCCAAACTGGAATTCTGCTCTTCATAATTATTTAAAAAACGCTATTGCTCCTGTAGTAAGTATAAAGATAGATAATACCACTTTAAATAATTCCATTTCTAAAATATTCCCAGTTGTCACTCTTAATTCCATGTAGGCAATTATCTATTTTATCTATTTTATCTGCTTTTATCTATTTTAATCTTTATTTATAACCAGTGGAGTTAACCCCTGTTAAGTGTAGCTTTGTAACTCCAACGCCAGGCTTGCTTAGTTCCACCCCACTAGAGGCCCAGAAGGTCCACATGGAAATGGGATTATCTTTCTGTTATTAAATTTTTATTAGGTAAATTATCTACTAAAGATTTTATATAATAAATATTGCTTGTTATCTCCAGATTTATTGTTGAATTTGGGCCAACCTGAAAAATTTTAGTTACTTCTTCAAAGATAGCTGTAGAGGAAATTTCAAAATTGCCTTAATTTTGAAATAATAGTCCTATTGTACAGTTAAGTATTTCTTTATAATCTCTCTGTTGATTTTTAGGACCATACAAAATTAATTATAAATTCATATCAATGGCTTTGTATTTATAAATCACTCTAAAGAGCCAAAAGAGGTAATTTTATGCTAAAATTTTAACATTAATAAAACAAAAATGACAAAATATTGACATTAATTGGATAGGTTGAGGAAGAAGACATAACTGGTATTCACTGTGCTTACTATTCTTTGTACATTTATTTATGACAAATTTCACATGAGTTCTTGTAAGTTACATGATAATAGCATTGTGTTACTCTAAGGACTGTTGTATAGAGACCTATGAGTCACTATTAACCATAAATCCCAAGTGATGAGGTGGATATATTGTCCATTCTAGACCAACACCATTTTCTGTAAAATATTAAGTAAAAATAAAAAGATTTGATGGTTTTCATAGTTAATGTTTCCTATATATTCTGAAATAATAATTATTTTTATATCCACAGGACTTTTCAACATGGCATGGCTGAGTCCAGTTCCAATTCCTTAAAAACATTTTTCAAACAGCCATTACATTGGCTTTCTTGCATATCACATTTCTATCCTTCTTTACTCAGGTGAGAACTTCTAAATGCTATACTATCTATAATTCTGATTCCTTTTAAGGTTAAATATAAGCTTTAATCCATGGAGGTAAATGCATCTTATAAAAAGAAGCTACAATGTTTTATAATATGGAAATTAAAAATGCAAGTTATTTTTTTTTCTGAGCGTAAGAATCCAAGATAAAGGCCTGACTTATAGATTTAGTGATATAATGGAAAAATGTGGATTTTTTGAAATTTCGGGCTTTTTTCCTATTTATTTTTCTCTAGATCTATTTCAGGTAATTGTCTGGCCATTTTAAAATTCATCCACCTTGATCTATAAACTGGGGATTTGATAATTCTCCAACGTAGTATTAAATTAAGACAGCGAAACAGGACAATTCATCTAACTCAGAGTCTTTAGTAAAAGTTGAGACAGGAGTAACTATTAAAATTATGAACAGGATCTTTTACTTTTATTTTTTAATTAACAGCATTTAAATATAAAAAATCATTTAAAGCATAAAATATACTTCCAGAGTAATCTGGTGACATTTTGTGGCATTATGTAGAATGTCAGTTTGATTCTTTGCTGAATATATCATTGGAACGTTAACTTTCCTTGATATCTGAATAAATATATCATACATAGCTGCAGGAGATATTGTTAATCTCCATACATTCATGATTCATCTTGGAAATATGCTCTCAGTGATTTCATCACCCACGTTGACTGATAGTGTCTCTCTCCTGAGGAACAAGAATCTTACGCACAAACAGAAACTGTGAATACCTCATACACAAATTCTCTATTGACAACATACACTGTTTACCTGTTCCCATATAGCTAATGAAGAGTACAAGATCCATGAGCTATAGGCTCTACCTTCAATGAACTCATATATTTGTGTTACTTCACTTACATATAAAACTTTTCCACAGCTCTGATTAATTCCTCATGATTGATTTCAGGAAATGGAATGCCATCAATACTGTGTCATCTCAGTAGCCTGTTACTACACTTGTAAATGTACTCTTAAGTGATTGAGAGTTAAGTAGTTGACTTACTAACACTCATTATGGCAAAAATAGTAAATTAAACAACTGGATCTTTTACAGTGTGAACTCAGCAAACAAGCTGCATCATTTTAATGAGTTACCAAACTTCTAAACATATTTGTTCTCCGTATTATGATCATATTTGCTTTTATCTATTTTAATCTTTATTTATAACCAGTGGAGTTAACCCCTGTTAAGTGTAGCTTTGTAACTCCAACGCCAGGCTTGCTTAGTTCCACCCCACTAGAGGCCCAGAAGGTCCACATGGAAATGGGATTATCTTTCAAATAGTTAATTTCTTTCTTTTATTTAACCTCTTTCTCTTTTTTAAAAAGATTTATTTTATGTGTTTATGCATACAAAAACTGGGGTGCAGGCCAGAGGTACAGGGTGGTGAAATGATTCACCAGAGACAGAGTGGGGAGCAGAACAAGCAGATCTACTGAAATACACTGCTGAGGGAAGCACTAAGTGAGACAGGAGAGGTCTGCTGACCAGGGATAGAATTCAGGCTGCAGTGGCTGGCAATAGCTTGATAGCACTGAGACTTAACCCCTGCTCCACCAAGGAGGCCCTTCTTTCTCCTTTCTATATTTAAAGTGAATGTTAATATAAGAAGACTATATTTCTATTCTATGTAGCAATTTATCTCCACTATTATTCTAACACAAAGATTAGAATGTGGGAGTGACTACTCAGCCCATAATACAATTTAATAAAACTTTCTGAAAACAGTTTAATAGAATGTATCAAAAACCTTAAAAATATTTGTATCCCTTTATCCAGCAAATCCACCTCCAGAAGTCAGTCATAAGGAAGTCAATCTTCATGGAGCTTATGAAAAAGTTTTATATATAAGGATATTCATTAAAGGATTATTTGTGAAAAAAATGGAAATATCTCAGTATTGAATTAGACAAATAAATTATAGATAGCTATATGATAAACTACTGTGAGTTCATTAAAAGGGTTGATTTTGAAACATATTAAATGACAAATAATTATGATCTATAGTTAAGGGGAAACTGCAGGTTATGACTTCATTAAAGCTGGTTCAGTTTTTAGAGTGATAACTGTGAACTAGACATTCCAAGTGCTTCGTGTATATTACCTCTTATAAACCTCAGACCATTCTGTGAGGTAAGTACTTATGTGTTTCTTTCATGGAGAATAAGAAAGTGTTTAGGCAGAAAACCGAAGAGAACAAAGCTGGTGGTCTCTGAAACCGGGTTTGTCCCCTTCCAAAGCTCAAGCTCCAGACAAATCTATACTTCCACCTTTCAAAGGAAAAGCAGTTCAGGGTGATATTGACAGGTATGCATGAAAAATCTATGGCTTCCAGTTATTTATTAGCTGAAGTCTTTTTATATGCTTCAACTTTGCTGAGGCTCTGATATTCTAGTTCTTAATGTTTATCGCCAAGGGAGAGATCTAGTATACAGACTACCCAGACTTGCAGAATAGGACAGCTTCTGTTTCCCAGGGGATATACAGTTATTGGAAGGTGGCATGCAATTGACAAGTCTGAACTATGCCATGCTACTGTAAATGTAGCATTAAAATGTCTAGGAAAGCAAATATCAAAAGGATCTATACTAGCTTTTATTTTTGTATCAAAAAAAGATTGCAAATATGTTTAATACTTATCTGTAGAGTTTTCTGTTTTCCCAATTTCCTACAATATAAATAATTCAATTTTATTAAGATAAAAACATTTTAAAAACAAAAAGAAACCCCATTTTAAAATTGTCCTGTTCATCTATCTTAACCTATACTCTGCTGTATAGATGATTTCTACTTCTGCATCTCTACCTTTATCTCTGTCTCTGTCTATTTTTTTTTTTTTTGGTTACAGATTTATTTATTTATGCATGCAAGAGCTGGGGTACAGGCCAGAGATGCAGGGGAGTGAGAGGATTCACCAGAGACAGAGTGGGGAACAGAACAGGCAGACTGACTGAAATATATTGCTGAGGGGAGAGCTGGTGAGACAGGTGAGGTCTGCTTTGCCATGTGGGTTGCTCCCTGGCCAGCCAGAGGCTGCAGACTGCTCTTAGTGTGGTGCTTATCCCCTTGAGCCACCAGGGAGGCCCTCTCTCTATCTTGCCTTTCCTCCAAAACTGGCTAGGTTGCCAATATTTCTTGAATGCCCTTCAGTATCACTGGGCATCAAATGTCCTTAGCTGATTTTCTCTTTTACTCTTCCATTGTCCTCTACACATGGTATCTTTTCTTTTAGCAGTGTCATTATTCTTAAATAATTCCAGCATAGACTCTTGATCATGGATTCCATATTGAACTGCTTCTTTGCCTGTTCCAAATGTTTTACATGTTCAGTTGATTCCTCCTCCAGTGGTCTCTTAGACCCATTTTTTCTCTCCAATCCACTGCAACAAACTTAGTCCATTCTTACTATTATTTGACATCTTTAAAATACTGTTTTCTTTGTAGCATTCTCCAGCTCAATAACCTGCAATAGCTTCTTCTCAACCATATGGTCTTTCCTGGCTTATTTCCTGAATCACTCAGTTTTTTCTGCTTGAGGCCTCAGTCTCTTCACTTGTCTTTAAGATAGAGTTATTGCAAACTTTTACCTTTTATTTATTTCTCATTCTAAACTTAGGGCCTTTATTTATGTAGTGTTCTCCCCTGGAATGCATTTGGTTATCTCCTTTGCCTTTCTAAATTCTTCGTGCAAGGTACAGTATGAACTCTCCTACACAGAGTGCCATACATTCTGACAATTATTCTCTAACAGGTCCTATAATCTACTTAGGATGACATGATCCACGCAATTTGTGATACAACATGCTCAGAACAGTGATGTAGTCAGAGGACTCCAGGGCAGCAATAAAAGCAACTTCAATGTAGCATTTACAATTATCACACATAGCAATGGAAATTCCTAGACCACCATCATATGACCTTAAAAATCTTTGCCTTTACGTCATTTGCCTTGTGTACACATATATACTGCTTCTGTGAGTCTTTCACTGGGAAATTTTCCTTCAAACCTCCATTCCTCCTCTGTGTAACTAAAATGAAAATTTCAGAGAAATACATGGGTTGGTTCATGGCAAGCTAATAATATATTTGGTATTTCTTTTTTGTTAATGGAAGACTGTGAAGAATCTACTGAAGTGTTTAATATTTTGAAATATCTTAGTAATTTATTCATCTATCTGCTTACCTATACCTTATCTACATTGATTTAAGTCAGCCTTTAATAGCATTAAATATATTAATAAAATAAGGTGAGCTGGAATTAGAAGCAGGTATGTAAATTAAAAGTAGGTGAAATGGAAGAAACAGAGCAAAGAAGAGGACATGAAATTAGGACAAAATAAAAGTTAAAAATACATAAATAGTAATATGGACCACAAATTTGTCTAGAGAAAAATATGAAATATATTAATAGGTAAAAACAGAATCTCCATGTTCTCCTAGAACACCTGGAATAAAATTTAGAAGAGTTTGCTTTGGGGAAAATGAATATATTTTCAAAGCAGTAAGATGTAATTTATTCATTATTCCTAGCAGTAATATAGGCCAACAACATGAGTTGATTTGGAAAGGGTAATCAGTTTCATACATAGATTACAGTAAGGCATGTAGAGAGTTTATTAATCTCAAGGTTAATACTTTAACACCATACTGTGCTTTCTTTTAAGAAATAATAACTGTCAATTATAGTATGTTGCATTATAATACTTTTATTATTTTTCAAATTTCATCTTCTTGTGGTTCTTTAAATATTTCCAAATATTTTAAAAATCTTCCTTAGCTAAGTAGGCTCTAACTGTACACTGAATCCAAGTAGTATAATCAGGGTGAATAAATAGTCCATTCATTTTATACAGCTTTTTTTTTTTTATAATGGCAACATGATGTTTTGATTTGTGGCTAGTCCATTTTGAACTGTTGATTTTTTTTCTACTATGCTTTTGTTTTTATTATACTTTAGTCAATGC